GGGTCATGTGGTTGTCCCATGCATAGAAAGGGACATGCATGCTCACAGGCTCAAAACGCAATCTCAGCCTTAGTTGGCTGCAAGTTCTTGTGTCCGCCTTCAGTCTGCAAGTGCCTCTGTCTTAGGGGTGGCTGTGGGAGGAATGCCGATTAGAGGGAAGTGTGGGAATTATAAGCCACTCAGTCCTACACGGGAACAAATCAACCAACCAAAAAAGGGGAGGGGATGGTAGTGGAAGTTTCCAGCCTCACAGAAGTTACTAAGAGAAGAAACTGAGGAGGAGCCACCATGAGACATACCCCCAATCCTTACAGAAAAGGGCTGAATATGTGGCATCTGGACCCAGACCGTCAGGTTGAATCCTGGCTGTGCTCCTCTCTTGATGCCCTTGACCTTGGACGTGCCATTTAAATTCTCTGTGCCTTGTTTTCCTCATTGTAAGGACCTTAGAACAGTGCTTGGCACATAGTACATGGAGTATAAGTATTCGTTAAATAAGAGAAAAGTTCCTTTATTTCACCTTCACTGCTATGCTGTGAGGACTGTATAGTTATTCTTCCATGTAGAGGGTAAACTGAGGCTCAGACAGATGGAACGTCTCCTCTGAATAGGTGTCAGAGTTGAGCTCAGGTCTTCTCTCAATCCCAGTTCTCCCCACTGCGCCACTCTGTCTGTGTCCCCCTCCCTGCCTGCGTTGGTGGCGGTGGGCAGTGGGTGGTGCAGGGAGCATTGCTGAGGTGACCTCACAGAGCAACCCCCCACTCTCATGTTACTCCTGCCCCTGAGCCCCACCAGAAAAAACTGGCTGCTTTTGTCCTCAGAACAGAACCTGCTTGCTATAAAAAGAGAGCCCTAGAAACAGACTGCCTGAGAGTTTAAGGCCAACACAAGCCCCATTTGTGGAAAATCATTTTCTTCATCAATTTGGTTATGTGCAGACTGACCTACCAGGCTTCACCACTGCCTCACTGTGGGCCCATCTCACTTCCAATGGGTCCAGTGCTTGGAGGGTGGACAAGGTTAGGGAAAGAAGGAGGATCTTTGCATTGCTTTTTCTTTGAATAAGTGATTTGTGCACGTGTTGCTTTGCCTTACATGAGGTGACGGAGATGCAAAAAGGATTACTCAAAGCCCATTTCTTCTGAGCAGTGAGACACTCCAAAGGGGCTAACTTCCTGGAACCCTCGAGAGAGAGGCATTCCTCCTTGGGAAATTAACACTAAGCTAGGGTTCTGTCTCAGCATTTATTCTCCAGGCCAGAAAGTTACAGAAAAAGAACATAGGTGGAGTTATGGTTAAGTATAGTTTAACAACAGAAGCTGATAACATCAGTGAAATAACAGTGACATTCCATAATGCAATTTGCAAAAGGTTAAGTCGATCCACCAACGAAAGCTTGTTCTTAGCAAATACTGTCTTTTCCTACAGCAGTTTGCTCAGTAGTTTTACATAACAATAAAGAAACTTTTTTTAAAAAACATATCAATCAGTAGGTTAACCTGCTCTCAAGGACGTCTGTCCTTGAGAGCCAGCAACTTTGCTGTGTTACAATTCTATATCTACAACAGAGACTTTAGCCTGGGGAAAGTTTCCTGTCTTTTGCAAGGTTAACGTTTCTATGTGTAATTTTAAAAAGTTAGGTTAAACCTGAAAGTACAGGGCTTTGGAAACTAGGCCCTGTGAAATACATTTGCTTTGTAAGTGTTAGTGTACTGCACACACATGGTACAAAACTCAATGGTATGAAAGGGTATTTGGTATAAACTGAGTCTGTCACCTCAGCTCCCCACAGCCAAAGTTGTTGCCAGAGGCCCACACTGTGATTAACTTCTTATAAAAGGAAGGAAACCCTTAAATCAAGTGGATTTGTTCTTTAGGAAGTCCGTTTAGATGGGCAGCAGACAGCCCTGGGGCAAGCCAGTCTGTAGGAGCTGGTGGCATCAAGGGACATGGGAAGCAATCAGAAAGGCATTTCTAGATTATGGCGGTTCTGGCCACTGAATGGGAGGAGGAAGATGGGTACATCTTCCCTGGGCTGCTTTTCTCCTCTGCTAGGGTGAACACCAGAAAGCAGTTGCCTCGGGTTTCTTATCAGCCTTTTGTGATTGAGGCTAGGAGCCAGTGATTACCCTCGGCCCCCCTGCCCCTGTTCTTGTCATTAGGAAGAGCCCAGTTCCTTAATCCGTCCACAGGCAGGGCTAGGACCTATGCATGGTCTACACTGAGAGGATGAGCATCAGAGATCTCCTCCCCCACCCCCTGCCTCATCCTCTCTTCTTTTTTGTTCCTTACCCTTCATTTTCATTTCTATCCCCCAGCCCCAACGGCACATTAAACATGTACAGTGAATAGTGCTCGGCTTCCTATGTATTTATGATTTATAGCTGTTCATCTTATTAACTAAGTGGCTTTGCCAGGTAAAATATTAAGGCACCATTGCCATTATGACCTTGTCTTCCATGATCTCATTGGCAGCTGGTGTTGCCATGACAACTTGGTAGTGAAACTGGTATGGAGCTTCAGTGGAAGAGGATAATGACACTGGCCTGTGTGTGTGCGCGCCTGCGCCGGCACGTAACAGAATGCAGACTTCCCATCATGTGTATTTTTTGTGCAGGAAGATGTGGATTTCTTAGTCCACACCTTCTGTTTCTCCTTCTAATTTCGTTAAAATTAGCCTCAGGGATCTAAATCAATTGGAAGGAAGCTTTGAAGGATGATTTCTTTGTTTGGCTTTTTGAGTGGCAAATTGGAACCAGGGACACATAGGAAACAGTCTAGAGGCTTTCTACCCATGGGAAATGAAACAAGCACACCCACTTGGATACTGCTCTTAAAAGCATTTTGGGCCCAACTTATTTAACATCTTTATGTAATTCTCTTACTGGATTTATAGAAAGTTGCAGCTCGAAGTGGACCAGGATGTCACATAATCGGACCCTCTTTTTGTTCATGTGGGAAAACTGAGGCCCAAAGAGGCTAACTGACTTGCCCCCCATAAGGTATGATACAGAAGGGAAGGGGTGGGATCTGGAATCATACCACCTGGCTACAAATCCTGGCTCTACCATGTATTTACTGTGACATCAGCCAAGTTGCTTAACCACTCTAAGTAACAGTTTTCTCATCTGTAATATGGGGATAATAGTAAGAGCAACTTTATGGTTCATTGTGAAGATAAAGTGAGAATATCCACAATGCTTGGCACACATTAAGCCCCAAATAAATTTTATCACTATTACCCCAGGTCGCACAGGAAATCAGTGGCAGAAATTGGACTAAAATCAGTTTAGCTGACTCCTACTTAAACTGGAGCTTTTCCCCATGAACCCTAGGCTGCCCTTTGTTTCTTTTTGTTTGTATATGTGTTGTCATCCAAGGGAGAGTGGCAGCTCATTTTGAGACAGAGGTTGGCTTTTCTTAAAACCTCCTATGGAAGTGTGTATAATACATACACTAAACATTTGGTGGATACTTGCTAATTTGAGGCTAAACCTTAGACACTCCATGCACCCATGCATATTTATTAAATGTACCCTGAATGGCTGTTAAGCGTAGGGGGAATGAGAAGAAAATTTAAGAGAAATGCTCATTTCTGATCACTTCATATGAAACATCACAACAACCCCATGAGGTGAGTGTATTCATTCCCATTTTACAAATAAAAAAACTAAGACTGGTGTTTATGCAGCATGCCCAGGTTCACATGGCTAATTGGAGAGCTGGGTTTCCATCCACCCTTTTACTTCAAGGGGACACTGACACCGTCAATAGACTTTGTAGTTCAGAACAATTTTTCACCCCCTCTCTGTGAGCCAAAAGCATATTTCCTGAGGTGGTGAGATAGATGTAGAGAAGACTGACACCTTTTCCACTGCCGACACAAAGTAGAGTGTACAAAGCACAGTGTGTAACTTTGAGGATCTAAAACATTCTCCCAGGCAAACCGGACAGGCATTGCAAGACAACCACCAGGCTGGGTGCTTTTGCAAATTGCCACTTGTTTAAACTTCCTTTCATCACTCTGTCAGGAATAAGAGCAACACAGTGGAACCTCAGACTCCTGTTTAGAGGAGCAAGCTGTTCTGGGGAAATTTATTTCAAAAGTTATTCTGAAGTAAAAACACGCCCACTGGGGGGTAAGGGTGGGCAGTGATCCTATGTCCTGGGTAATGAGGCCATTAAAGCAGCTGACCTCCACACATCTTAAGAGTGGGTCAGTCTGTGGGCGAGTTGCGTAAACTAGTACAGAATTAGCCAAGTGACTGCAAGTGAGGGCAGCAGGAAGACCCATCTCTCACGTGGCATTAGGGGTGGAAGTCAGACGTGATCAGGGGTGTATGAGTCCTACATTAACAGGGCTCTGAGTGGGGCTGGATACTCTTCTGCTTACACTGCATACTCTCACTACTTGCACTCCATAACCTTTTACTTATACTCTTTGTTTATTTGGGCTTGGCTGGGGGGAGGTTGACGAAAATTTGGGGGGAAATCAAGGGGCCCTCCCTGGCACTGCATGAAGTTGCAGAACTAGCGGCATAAGTCTGGACACTGGAGACTGACTTTGATGTACTGGGGCATTGCGTGAACTAACACAGAAAATGCTAGTTATTACAATAACCCTTATGATAAAACCCATTAGATGGAGAAATCTTTTTCACAGCATAGCCTCATCTGTTTATTCCACATGCTTTTCTACATAACCAGATTCTAGGAGGTGCACTGCGGGGCCATGTTTGCATCCCGGCCATACCCAGCACGACCCAGCATGACCCAGCAGGCAGGTAGGAATACCAAACGCGTACTGACGCGAGCTTTCAACCCCGAGGTGACTGCGGACCCAGCACGGCCCGCAGCAGGGTCCGAACTCCCGCACATGCCCTCTGCGGCTGGGGCGGAGCAGACGGGCCTTCCCCGGAGAGAAACACCCGGAGGCCGCGCCTCTTACATAACCCGGATGGCGTAACCGCGGGCCGCTCCCGGGGGAGGGGACACCGGGAGCGCGGCGCGGGAGTCCCGTGCGGCGCGCGCCCCACCATGTTCCTCTACCGCAGCGCCGCCTGGTTCGCCAAGGGGCTGCGCGAATACACCAAGTAAGGCGGCCGGGGAGGCCGAGGCGCGCCGCCGGGGGCCGCGGGCGGGGG